GAGTATGGAACACTACGGCCCTGGCTCGCTTTGTCCGCGGCCTTGGATGGAGGAGTGAAGCTTGGAGGCGCCCCTGTTTGGAGGGAAGTGTAGAGGGCGAGGAGATCTGCCTTGGCTGATCGTCGTGGGACGCTGACGCCGGAGCTGACGAGCGCCTGGCGTAGTTCTGCCACGGTCCATTTCTCCGCAGCTGGGGCGGGGGAGAGGGCTGAGGCGTAGGAGGACGCTGGAGAAGGTGGCTGACGCCTTGAAGGCGCAGGTGATGGCGTGCCTCGGTGCCTGGAGGTATGCGCGATGGCGGCGCGGGAGGGCCGGCGGCCCCGAGTTGCAGCCGCGGGCTCGCTTATGGTGTCCTGCGGAGCGCTGGTGTGCTGGACGGCGACTGAAGACGCCGGAGGACCCGTGGTGTCGAATTCATTATCGTCCGGGAAAAGCTCGATGTCTGACATGGTGCTAAGGATGCTAAGGACGGGAGATAATGGAGGTAAGGCTGCTTTGATTATTTATAGAGGTTCTCTCTTGAGCTGATTGGATAGATGGTGTAATTACTGATGATGAACTGGCCGTGTTAATTATCTGTGCGCGCTCCTCCCGAAACTTGTTAATAAAACATCACTTAGTGGAGACTCAGTTGAGAACCACTGCTTTATGGGATGGAAGCATAAAGCTTAGAATTTTAACAAATGATTATTAATTTTGTGGAATAATTAAACTGTCAGGATCATTAAACTGTCAAGATGCTGCTGAATCAGATGCACTGGAATATGAATCCACAAGTACAAATTTAATATCGTTCAGAGTTTTCAAAGTCAAGTCAAGTCACCTTTATTTGTATAGCACTTTATACAATACTGGTTGTGTCAAAGCAGCTTTACAGTGTCAAACAGAAAAATTGTTTGTCAATTATGCAAGAAGACAATAACGGAGTTGTTTTTTCAGCTTACGACAGTTCATTGATGATTCAGTGATGTCATCATCTAGTTCAGTTCTCTTCCAATAGTGTCTGTGCAATCAGTCAAGTGTCCCCAACTAAGCAAGCCAAAGGCGACAGTGGCAAAGAACCAAAACTCCATCGGTGACAGAAATGGCGACACAACTTTGGGAGAAACCAGGCTCAGTCGGGGAGCCAGTTCTCCTCTGGCCAGATGAAACCAGCATGGCGTGGTTAATTCCAGGCTGCAACACAGGTGCAGAGGACTCGTCTTGTTCCCGTGGTCTTGTGCCGAGGTGATGAGGTCTTCGCAGGGGATCTGTCTCTGGGGCGCATCTAGTTGACGTGGTCTCCACTGACATTGAGGGTTGTAGAGGTCGTTTCTAGGTGCTGATCCATCATCTGGTCTGGATATGGACTGGATCTGGGTGGCAACGGTGAACATCCGATCTGGATACAGACTGGATTCGTATGGCTACAGTGATCTCGGAATAAGAATGAAAGAGACTAATATTAGCGTAGATGCCATTTTTACGATGTGAGTACATCAGATGTTATTGGAAGTGTTCCCGGTTCCGGTTGACCTAATTAATGCAGCCTAACAATCCTTTAACGGATTTGAATTATAGAAATGTGATAGTGTGTTATGTGTAAGCCAGGTTAAAGAGATGGGTCTTTAATCTAGATTTAAACTGACAGAGTGTGTCTGCCTCCCGATCAACGCTAGGTAGATTGTTCTAGAGCTTGAGCGCAAAGACACAGAGTTTGAAGGTTCAAGATTCCAGAAGGGTATTGAATAACAGAATACAATAAATGTTTGTAATATATTATTTCATACTAACATTAAAATTGCACGGATATTAATGTCACTATGGAGTCAGTATCATTGGCCTTGCGTGCAGGTGTAAGAGAATGTTACGGCATTGCAGTTAAATGAAATCACTCGTGCAATGACGTTAAACTACAATTACATGTTCAAATACTGTGACAAGAAACAAAAAACAATCATTAGTACAAATATATTCATATATTTAGTTATGTTCTCATACTAGATTAGTATTATAGTGCTATTATATTACACCAAATTTCCCAAATTTAACAGTTATGCAAGCATGAGAACTCTTACACAAAAAGGCACCCACATATGCACACACACAAACATCCACAGTGCCCACATACACTTACATTCCACTCATATGACCCCTTTCCAAAACCAAGTGAATTGGCTGTGATAAGCATCTTTTCTCAGCACCAAATTAACTGAGAGTTCTTCTGGAAGCAAACACCCACAACACAAACCAGTGCGTCGTGACTAGATATTGTACATTGTAGAGTGCATGTGACGTGAGAAATCTATTTGTTGCAGAAAGAAAGAGCTTGTCCATGTCAGATTGGAATCATAAAGTTGTGCTCTGATTTCTTTCTTTATTATTATTATTTTATGACAAACTGAAAGTATTTAAATTCAACTTAAATTATTTTTGTTATTAAATTGGATTAAGTATTGAAATAATCTAGTGTGGAGTGAGGTACTAATGAAAGCACTAATGAGGTACTAATGACAAATTGAAGACAAATTAAAGGCCTAGTAAAGGAATAGTTCAACCAAAAATGAAAATTTGTTGAAATTTTTCTCACCTTGAGGCCATCCATGATGTAGATGAGTTTGTCTCTTCATCTGAACAGATTTGGAGAAATTTAGAATCACATCAATTGCTCACAAGTGACTCTTTAGCAGTGAATGGGTGCCGTCAGAAAGAGAATCCAAACAGCTGATAAAAACATCACAATAAACCACAGATAATCCACATGACACCAATCCATCAATTAACATCTTGTGAAGCGAAAAGCTGTGTTTATAATCCTTAAAGGGGTAGTTCACCCAAAAATGAAAATTACCCCATGATTTACTCACCCTCAAGCCATCCTAGGTGTATATGACTTTCTTCTATAATACTAGTTATATAAAAAAATATCCTGGCTCTTCCAAGCTTTATAATGGGGGTCGAGATTTTGAAGCCCAAAAAAATGCATCCATCCATCATAAAAAGTAATCCACACGCCTCCGAAGGATTAATAAAGGCCTTCTGAAACTTTATAAACCTTAATCTCTAGCTTCCACTGGTTACATATGCATTTAGAAGAAGGTTTTATCCAAAACGACTTATTAAACACACGGGAAAACTAGGTCACGGGGAGCACATGGTGAGAGAAAACACAACAAAACAGGTCCATAACCCTGGCATATCGCCCCCCTCCAGGAAGGCGCATCCTCGCTCCGTAGAAACAGAGGGAGGGGACAGGTGGGAACTTGGGAGAAGGCTCAGGAGGCAGACGGACACCCGGGAGGGGGCCGGCAGACAGAGTCCAGGGAGGTGACGATGGAGGGAGGAGCCAGGGAGGGGACAGGAAGGACTTGGAGCAGGAGGAGCCAAGCAGGACCCAGTCCACAACCATGATGGTGGCCCATGGTGGAGCCGACGGAGGGAGGAGCCATGGAGGAGGAATGCCCGCTGACTCCAGGGGGCTGACCAACGACTGCGGAGCAGGTGGCGGAGGAGCCCGAGGCGGAGAGCCAACAAGCCAGGGGAATGCAGAGGATCCAGGGGGCCATGGTGGATCCGAGGGCTCTAGCGACCGAGGCGGAGGTCCAAAGTCAGTCACAATGCCAGGTTTATTATACAATAATAATCAAGTGCTATATTATCACAAAGATTTTGATGCACATCTTTCTTATTAAATCGTTGTATTCCAACGATGCAAAACCGTCGCCACGGATTGTTTTTTTTTCCTACAGGTGACTTCCCGGGCTCCGTATGAAACACTCCAAAGAGAAAGGAAAAATTTTAATCGCATCACATGACCCCTTTAAGAAATGAATTGATGAAAAATGCAACTAGAATTGCCTGTGACAGACTGTGCTCCGCCTTCGCTCCACGTCTAATTGTATTTCGGTTTGTTTGAAATATCACAGTTCTGTTCATAACGTATATTAAAAAAATAAAATTACAGAAGAGTTTCAAAGTGGCTTATTGGAATACTAGTGTGCAAACTTTTTTTCTACCACATGACAAGCTAATAACATGGTTGTCAGCATTAAAATGTATAATTGCTGCTTTTTGCAGTGCAAATTTTGTTTGTGATGAAAATAACAGTATGTTTTTCTTAGTTATTTTACCTAATCGCAGCATTTCTTACAGATTTCTGCTCATTCGAAATCAGATACAGTTGAAGTAGCCTACTGTAAGATTACATTTGTTTGAATGCATTATTGAGAGAGCGGCTGCGTGTGAATAAGTGTTGTAGTACTTGTTTAAATCATGCTTTCAGCTGAAAATATTCAGTATAGAAGGAACAAACAAATTCCTTGAGAACTATAATTTCCCGCTCGTGTCCATTGCCGTCATCATAACCTTCACATTCTTTCTGATTTGAGTGATCATTCTCTATCAAGCTAGCTAAATGTGTTCCAGTTTTGGCCTGTTGCCAAGAGGTGGCATATTCAGTATAGAAGGAACAAACAAATTCCTTGAGAACTATAATTTCCCGCTCGTGTCCATTGCCGTCATCATAACCTTCACATTCTTTCTGATTTGAGTGATCATTCTCTATCAAGCTAGCTAAATGTGTGTTCCAGTTTTGGCCTGTTGCCAAGAGGCGTTTGGCCCATGGTGGAGCCGACGGAGGGAGGAGCCATGGAGGAGGAATGCCCGCTGACTCCAGGGGGCTGACCAACGACTGCGGAGCAGGTGGCGGAGGAGCCCGAGGCGGAGAGCCAACAAGCCAGGGGAATGCAGAGGATCCAGGGGGCCATGGTGGATCCGAGGGCTCTAGCGACCGAGGCGGAGGCGGAGATCTGCGGCAGAGCCGGAGCGACTGAGGACCAAGGTGGAGCTGGCGGGAGGGAGGAGCCCAACGGAGCTGGTGGGACAGAGTGTTGAGGTGAAACCAGAGGCGCGGAGTCCTGAGGCGATGACGGGTTGACGCCCGACCAAGGTGGAGCCGGAGGGACGAGGAAGCCCAGTGCAGCTGGTGGATGGACGGGCGAGGTGAGGGAGCTAGGAGTCGAGGGGGAGCCGCTGGGTCTACGTCTGGGCCTCGAGTGACAATGGAGACTGGCAGACCCGCGGAGCTCACATCGTACTGATGGTGGGCTGAGGGCGAGCAGAGGGGTTGCCAGACTACAGCGATGGAGGAGGCAGGAGCGGGTAGGTGGGCAGGCATTCGTGAGCCTCCGGCCTCTCAGGGCTGCCCTCAGTGATCAAAGCTCACTCCTGGCAGGACTCAGGGACTGAGTCTCTCTCTCGGCTGGACTGGGAAACGGGAGCCCACTCTGGGCTGGACGTAGGGACAGGAGACGAAGGAGGGCTGGATGGGACCAGTGGAGATGAAGGAGAGAGGAGAAGGGGCAAGTTGGCCTCCAGATTTACTTCCCAGTCAATTAGGTCCCCCTCGAAGTCCAGCAGTCCCAGATGCACGTTCAGCTCACCCTCAGTCGTGGTGCAGTGGGCGGAGCTCCTCTCCGCGCACTCACCGTCCATGACTTGCTCCCTCGTGGTGGACGTGGTCTCCGGCTCTCGCACCTGGTCAGACGGATTGGGCT